TATCTATTCCCCAAACGGTCACCTGGTCTAACACCCGGCATGCCTGGCGACAATGCCAAGTATGCACTCTTGCCCAAAGCTGCTATCGCAACAATGAACAAGCGTCAACATGCCATGATGAAACATGCTAACAAGTCGCGCAAAGAAGGGAACTTCGAAGTAGGAAGTTATGTCTGGGTCAAAATGTCTGAGTTTTTTTACGAAGAGGGCGTATCACGAAAGCTTCTTCCACTGTGTTATGACCCTTGGCAGGTTCTAAAGGTGGCTGGGGATGATTTTGGTCCTTCGTATGTGATTGACGTGCCTCCTCATCTACGCACATATTCGGTCTTTCACGCGTCCAAACTGATTCCACATATCGTTGATGAGACTTTTCCCTTCCGAGATCCTATGATACCTCGTCCTATCGACGGCGGCCATGAGATAGACAAAATTGTTACCCATGAAGGAAGAGGGAGGAACAAACAATACAAGGTTCACTTCCTCTATCACTCGTTGAACGAGTTCTTTTGGATCGACCGAAAAGAGCTGCTAAAGAATGCTCCCCGTGTTGTTAAAGCTTATGAATGACAAATCGCTGATGGACGTACTGCTAAGTTTTCTGCAAAACTCACTCCTCACGGTTATACTAAATCTCTCTTTCTGATCTCCGCCTACGACGCATTTTGTGCCGACTCTGAATGAGTTACTCGCTCGAAGGGACCTCGCTCTTGAGAGGTGGGTAGTGTAATGACCCGCCAAAACACAGACTGAGAACACTGCTGATTTCTGGGATTTGCCACTGGAATGAATGCCTTGCTGAGATTCCCGCATTCTGCTGAGGTTTCCAAGTCTATGTGTGTGTGCGTGCCTGCTGGTTTGCGTGCCTGTCTGAGTGCTTGTCGGCCGAGTGTGTGTGTGACCCACAAGGGTACTTGTTGGTTGAAAGGCCCCACAGGGACGGTACTTACCTTTGGCCGTTCCTTGAGGGTTCCAACGGGGAAAACAGTCAAGTAGCAGAGGTCGGGCCACGACACTTAGAGCAGCGGGAAAAACACTCAAGTGGCAGGTAGGTCGGTACCACTCAAGTAGTGGTAGGAGTGTCGGGTACTGGAGGTCGAGCAGAAGAAGACAAAAGTTGGCATTTTTTGGAGGCCCAGTAGCGGTGGGTTAGAGGTAGGTCGGTACCAGTCCAAGTAGCCCGAGTCTAGGGCCTGTCTGGACGATAGCAGAGCCTGCAATGATGTTTCCCTCCGAAAGGGAAGAGGTACCGGTTGCTGGGAGGCCGCTCGGCCTAGGAAGTCACCGTCCAAGAGGCCAGTAGGCCGCTATATCTTCCTGAGGAGCAAGCAGCTCCTCCTCATTTGCGGTATGCAAGGATTGGCGACATGCTGCTGGAGCCAAGTGCTGGACTCGGGCAGCGCTGCTTGGAGGTGACGAGCAGCTGGGTGCTCAGCCTGGCTATGGAGAGCAGCCCAGCCTGAGGAGGAGGAAGAAGGGGGGCGAAGGAGGAGAGTGGCGAGGTACCTACCTGGCTATGGTGGACACCATTTTCATCACCTTGTTGGGCGCTGCATCTGGAAGGCCCCAGTTGGGGTAGTGCCGCACCAAGGAAGCTCGAGGCAGAGTCAGGTATAGCGGCTTAGTCAGCAGCGACATAGCTGCTTTTTTCACCGACATAGCTGCTTTGCGTTGTCCTTTTCACAGGAGGGCAGAGCCCTCAGTAGTCCGCCATAGCCTAGGCATGTGAGAGGTTGAAGAAGGGGGGAAACCATGGCTGTGGTGGACCTATTGTGATGTCAGCAGTAAAATGGAGCTTCGGATATTGATTCTGGCTCATCCACTCATTGTTATTATTTCTTTTGGAAGAAGAATAAGATTGGCGAAGTGAAGGAGGAGGAGGAAGGTGGAGAGAGAAGGGTGATTTGTCATTGGTCTTGCTGGTGTACATCTCCTCCTTCTTCTTCTTCTTCTTCTTCTTTCTCTGTTCTTCGGTCTCACTCTCTTTGCAAGTGCTTTCATTTCTTTCGCAATTGGGTGGCATTGTCTTTCATTGTGAATTTGCGGTTTGGAATGATCAGGATCGTAACGTCTGCCAAATTTCTGGTAGTTCGATCGTTCAGGATTGAGAAAGCTTTCTGGACTTGGACTGATACATATATGTTTTTTCCTTCCTCCAACAAGCTTCCCATTGCATGTGGTCGATGCAATACATATGAGTTTTACAGGCTCCCTTGCTTGCCAACTGCGACAGCGAGAAAACTGATTTGGAATCGTAGTTGGGAGAAAGGAGAAAAAGAAGGAACTTGAGATAACAAAAAAACATACATGCGTTGGTCAATTGCACATAAGTGTGCAACATCTGTGCCGCACACAGGGGAAATGCGCACCCAGAAAAAAGAAGGGGTTGCAGGTCTGGATCAGTTGTCAGCTTCACCCCCTCCGAAAATGTGTTGTAGCATGGGAAAAAGAAAAACAAGTCGGGAGAGTAATGTCACCACCTGACGGTCGAGACTGATGTCCCAAAGGCCTATTCGAGGTTATTATCTATGGTCAGTGGAACAAAAAGAAAAAATTGCACTGCTGCTCCGAAAACAGCAAAAAAAGAAAAAGAAAAACATAAACTGTTGCTGGTGTAGCGAACGGGCAGGCTCGTCACGTTGCATGGTCATGCGGCTCATGCGGTTTCAAGTATTCTAACAACTCTTTAACGGAGACCCACTGGGCACTGGGTCTTTCCCATTCCTCATCAGTAAATACAAAAGAAGAAACCTCCTCGGTCGCAAAGCCCCTGACCCCTGTACCGAAGTCCTTCACTCTTCAACAGAGACACATAAGTTAATGTGTCTTGTTCATGCTTCAATGGTAACTGAAAGAATAGAGACCTAATGGGTCTTGAAATACGCAGTGAGTCTCAAACACTATTCCTGAAATTCTTGGTGCCTGTGTTTGAGGCCTTGGTCTGTACCAGGCTGCATATGAGTGGCCCTGGATCATTAATGGGAAAGGTTTAGAGCTGCATTCAGCACGACTTCAACTGGAAATTGGTTTCGGAAGTGCCTACCTGAAGGACTGGGACAGCATCCCTGTACTGCGAACTTACGGCCAAAAAATGTGTGCGCGGCTGCACGACCGGGAAGTTCATGCTTTTTTTAATTTATTGGGAGGGGCTGGAAAAGTAACCCGGGCCCAGGCGCTGCCTAATGGGCTGATCCTGCCTGTGGCTCCCACCCATCGTGTTCATCTTGTGGTAGACTTCTTTGTGCGTGGTGGTACAAGTTTTGAGGTGTTATCAGGAAGTGAACTCTAGTCGAAAACGGAGGAATGGACAATAAGGGGGGTTACAACAGATATGGCCACACATTCATATACATTTATATTGTGACCAGTTGGGAAGAGTGCAATGAGGCAGTCTGTCACAGCTGCTGCTTGTACGTTGTCCTGTTGGACATACGTATTGTCACAAAGGACCACGTGGTTTTAACTGTTGTTGAAAGTGCGAAGCATCAAGCCCTCGGTAGACCCCGAACAGGGGCCCAGCTGAAAGGCTGGTGTAGAAAAATGTCTTGTGGGCCCTATGCGACAAGCCCTGTGCCTTGGCCCTATACCCAACAGTTACAACACAGTGTGGGTGTTGAGTACAGGCCAAGCCGTGCTGTGTGACCAAGGCATCATGGGGACCGTAGCCTCTCGCTGGCTGCAATGTGGCAAACGGCCTTCGGCCAATGAGGAAGGAGCGAGTAGAGAGAGCCACGCCGGGCTGTCGAGCCCTCCAATCGAACGGGGCCCAGGGCATATTCAGGAAAGTCTCTGGGCGCAGATACTGGGTCTGGACGGGAAGCTACCGGGTACCATGCAGGCACGACCAGGCAGGGTCCAGGCAGTGTGCACTCATGAAGGAAAGTGCTGCGCGCCAGTTCAAGGACATCCATGGCTGGAGAGAGCACCTGGCCAGAGCTGGTAGTGCACATGGGCGCTGGTGTTGGGCAGGTCTGGATGCAGCGCTGCACGTCGGTCATGGTAGCCAGTGGGGTTGGTCGTGGTCCTTGGGCATGGTGGTAAGCCTGTGAGGGGACAGTCAGGGAGTGAGCCTGGGGGAGAGGAGGACGTACCTGGTGTGTCGTGGAGGTGTGCATGGGCGGCATCTGCATGTGCATCAGTTCCGCTGCTGAAGTTCTTTCGGTTGCGTCATCATAGTAGGCTACGATACATGTTGCGCCTCTGTGGCTGGGCACCAGATGCCATACGGATGAGTGAATTGGATACATTGTTGATGGTGGTGAGACGGGCTTGACATTGAAAATGGAGTACGTTGCTTTACTCTTATTTGGTGTGTAGTACTGTGTACTTGGTGCATTCTGCTTTCTGTGCGACACATGACTATCTGGTTTTCGATGTGATGATGCAATTTGGATTTCCGCCATTCGCTCTCGCTCGTTTTCCTTGCAAAAGGGAGAAAGGACAAAAAATAAGGAGCTGTGTGAGCCAGTTTCATCTGGCTTTCACTGACCGATCGGGAGTCTGGACACTTAAAAGGCCCTAGAGCTTTTCCTACTGACGCTTCAAGTTGCGATTTGCCTTGACCCAAGACCAGAGCAGACTGCCACCACCCCATGGCCAAGAGACAAGGCCCCGCAGACTCAGTTCACCCCCCTGACAACAGCCAGGAAAGCAACCAAAGAAAGAAAACACCCCAGACAGTGAAATGAAATCAGCAGTAGTTGTTGCTTGAACAGCAGCAGGCTTTTCAATCCTGGTCCAAGCGACTGAACCTTCTCGGCTCGGGGCAGGTCTGATTACACGGCGAGAGTATTCTCAGCCATGTTGTTGAGGTTGTTTCTGTTCGAAGCTTTTGTAAGCCGGTCTGTGCGAAGAAAATTGGGTTTTCCCGACTTTTCCCCAACTTTTCCGAGTTTTGTTTGGTCGCTTTTTTAAGTTTTGTTTTGTTTGTCTACGGATTGGATTTTCAGTTGTTAGGGTTGCTTGCTGCTGACATTTTGATGTGTCCTTTGTTGGAACAGGATGATGGAAGGAGCACTGATTACATGGCGAGAGGTGTGCGGAGATGCATTTCGTTCAGTGGATTTGGGGAGGCATGGTCTGCATCCAGATCACATGGCTGGGTGGGACCCCGCTGGTGGAATAATGTTCATGCAAATCAAGAGAATCTTGGTGGTCCTCCCAATGTGAGTGACAGGAACTTATGTCTTTCTTTTGGCTTTTTTGTAAACCACCAGGCCGCTGTGGGCCTATTGACGATGCCACCGGCGCTCGGAGGCCACATTTTGGATGTGTGTAAGTGCGTCCGGTCACATTCAGGTACCCCTGGTCAAATTCGCGTTCAACGAAGTAGATTGGAAAGTAATGATGGTTTCAAGTCTTGTTCTGTTTTGTCGGCTTTTTTTCTGCTTCTGCATTCGAACCTTCCTGCCCACCTCTCCCCCCCCTCAAACAAACAAAAACAAAAGGGGGGGGGGGGGGAATCCTGCGCTAACAAGACCTATGTGTAATATATATTGGTTTAATGGTTGCATACGATTAGGCTGGCCGCCGGTTTGCCACAGTGTGCATAGTTGCAGTCCAGGCCATGGATCTTGTGGTTGAATTAAAGGGAAGAAAGAAACTCAAAATAATAATCAAAATGAATTTGAATCAATGCTGTTCAGGCGGGAGTCTTTTGCCTCACCGAGAGGAAAGGACTGAGTAGAGTCTTCGAGGGGAAAGATCTGAGTAGAGTCTTGTTTCGAAAACAAGTATGGTAGTATACCAATGTTTGTATTGTCTTTTGACTTGCCTAAGGAAAAGGAAGAGGACTGTCTCCTCTGACCTGCCAATGGATGAGTACTACGGGCACCTCCTGAGGCCTGGCATCCACCCTCTACGACACCCTGGACCTAAGAAAAAAAGAAGGAAAAAAAGAAGAAAAAAAAAAGAAACAGAATTTGAGCAGTCTGGTGCTGCTCTGCATCCTTCCATGTTCCACGGGAATTGAACCCATATCCCCTCTGTCGACTCTTCCGGATGGTTCCAGAATAAAGGGATGTACGGACGGTTCTGAGGCATGGGAAGGGGTTGAGCTTAGAAGTAGCCTGGTGTTGAAGGGTCTTCAATCAAGGCTTGTTTTCAATATTCAGAGCTGTGTTGAGGGACGATAGGGAAGGAGGCTCTAGCAGAGAGGGCCAGGCCTCACTGGTGCCCCCATGTCTCCAAAACAAAAAACAAAAAATGGTCATGCATGGATTGGAAAGCCAGCGAATGGTCGCCCCTCTGGGGCTAGGTCCCACCAGGCGTGGGTTAGTCTAGGTCTAGGTTTATGTGGCATAATGGGGCTCGCTGCACTACTCTAGACTCGTGAAAAATTTATCGAGTCGTTTTTGAGATGTCAGAGTCATGAGATGTCCTAAAATCTACGCATCGCCGCACTAGCTCTGGACTCTAGAAAAGCTAGGTTTGCTCCATCACTTTCTGAGCTCGGCCATTTCACTACAGGACAGCGCCAGCCTGGGTTGTCAGTCTAGACCCAAGGCCAACTCAAGGGAAACCAAGGCGGTTCAAGGGTCCTCCGGGTCTCCCTAAAAAAAGCCGCCTTCGCAGGCTGGTGCTCTACATCAATCTAGAGTGAGAAGGACGGACCTGCTCTGACAGCTCAAGAAATGAAAGATCTAGAGTGAACTTGGAGCAATGACGACTCTGCTACTTTTCTAGCGTCGTTCTGACAGCCCTAGAACAGGTTTTCGAGCGCCCATTTCTTGAGTAAGTGCAGCCATGCCTCACTCAAGAAAAAGCTTGAATCTAGAGTAGTGCAGCGGGCCACCAGTACCTTTCACACCCATTTTGTTCGGATGTGGCCGTGAAGGCAGCACATACTTGTGCAATCAGACTCGTTTTCAAACACACTTTTCACACATGTAAACAGTAACGCAGCATACTGGCGACATGCGCCCACTCAAACTCAGAGATATTTCACTCCCAATTGGCTATGGCGACCTCAGCGCCCAAACATCTCACTGTTCACATACACGGGATCACCCTGGATATCCCACACGCATCACTCTAACAC